GCTGCGCTGAGCACCATGGCCCCTCACCCTCCCCTTCCTTCCTGCGAGGGCAGGAAGGGCTAAGCCCTGGTTCCTTCCTGTGCTGGGGTATGGGTCATAGGGTGTCTGCGATGAGAAAATCCTTCCCCATCCTGCAGCTGCTGCTGGTGGTTTCCACATCCGTGAGCCACCGAGCCCCACATCCCTTCCTCATCGCTTGTGATTGAACAGCAAATGTCTCCCGAGTTGCGCCGTCCCAGCTCCCTTGGCCTTCCCGGCGTCTTGCAGCCACTGCCCGGGTGCGACTGCCGGACTCCAAGGCAGAGTGTCCCCACTGAGCTCCCTGGGACCCCGTGGGGACAGAGCCACTGGCATCCCGTGATGGGAATTTAAGGACTTAAAAATCAAACGGCGGAGGAAAAGCAAAAGCCAGCATATCCGGATGCTCGCAGGTGTATCTTCCTCTCCTTCGCAGTGTCATTACCTGCTTCCTGCTCTACCTTATCTCTCCAAGGCCACCTTTGTCCTCACAGGTGTATCCGAGGCCAGCAGTTCCACCTGAACCCACAGCTGGGGCTGGAAGGCAACTGGGGGATTTGTAGAAGACGGAGCCTGGGAAGGGACGTTGGGGCCTTTCCGAAGGTAGGAGAGGTCCAGGCCAGCGAGGAGAGGAGGGAAATGGGATCTATGCTTCTGTGTGGATAAACAGGGAGGATGGGACGGAGGGGAAGAGAAGGGTCATCCTCTCTGTTTGAATGCTGCAGGAATGTTGCCATGTTGGAAGGAGATGAGTGCCCGGCGGCAAGCAGGGTGCAAGCGATGCTGTTGGATGACTTGTGGGTGCTCCGGGGCTGCGGTCCTGCTATGGGTCTGGAGGAGGGAAGCAGGGGGAGAGAAACGAGGTTTGGAGGGTGGAGGAGCTGGGGACAGACTGGGCTCGTGGGGATGGAAGGGCCTTCGTCTCCAGCCAAGGCTGCGACGAGCTGGGGTGCGTGGGGAAACCGTGGTGCCCCTGTGGGGCACATCTAGGTGGGATCCTGGCAGCCAGCTCTGCTCTGGCCCAGGGTTCAGCTCTGGCTCAGCAGCCCCGGAGGTTTCTGCTGTCTCAGCACAAAGGCTGAAAACAATGCGAACAAAAAGACATGATGGCTCCATGTCCCCAGGCTTGGCACACGGCACAGTTTCACCCTGGTGCCACCGAAGTGGCAGGTTTGCACAGGAGTTTGGAGTGCTGGGGCCCAGTGAGAGCCCTTAGGGGGTCTGATCCTGCTCGGGGGGCCTGGGGCTGCCAACAGAGGGGGTGGGTGTGTGGGAGACAGCTGGTGCCATTGTGGGATGCCCAGTCCGGGGGGGAGGCTAAGGCTGCCCTAACCCCTGCAGCGAGGCTGGGGGCCCTTTGCCCCAGCCCACCCAGGGTCCCCACAAACCAGGTCAGTTCACCAAGCGCTCGCCGGCGTTGGGCAGAGGATATTGGCAGATGCTTCTGCTCTGCTGGAGGCAGGTGAGGATGCAGGGTGGGGCTTTGCTGAGTTGGAAACCAGAGTTCGGCCAGCTCTAGGGAAGGCACCAGGGCTGAGCACCCCTGCGAGATGGCGAGGCTGCCTGGCTGCTGCTACTGTGCACCCACATGCCGGGCAGCCGTGCACCCCATAAGTTTCTGCTGCCTTGGTGGGCACATCCGGAGTGGTGCTGGGCATGAGTTGTCTCACTGGTGTCATGGGATGGGGCTGCACAGGAAAGGTGTGTCCAGCTTCCCAGCTCACCCCGTGGTCTCAGCGCTGCACGATCGTTGAGATCCAGGCTCCGAAATCCACCTCCAGAGTGGCTTC